AGTATTTGCATGGTTAAATAATCGCAAATACATGTCTAAAAAGTCTAGTCAATTAATGTAATTGATAGCTAGAATAACAACGATACTACTACATTATGTTTGTATGGCTTAAATCTATGTTCATCACGAAAAGGCCTTCTTGGTGCAAGGCACGAAATTCATAGGAGTCATACAAAGAAACGTTGACAACATAACAGTCAAATCATTTTCTATAGGTAGTAGGCAAGCTATGTTAATTCATAGTAATAATAATAGTAGGTATAGCAATATTTACATTAGTTTTGTAACAAAAAGATAATAATGATAATAAACTAAAATTCAACAGACAAAACAAGTAATTGAAATATCACTACCTTGTTAGAGAGAAAAAATATGTAAATCAAAAACATTGAAAGATCGATTATCACATTATTGAAATGTTCACAATGAAAAACATTGACTTAGGCTCGTGGACACACACACACACACTTGGGCTACGAAAGAGAAAAGAGATATACTAAGAAAGAGAAACGTACGATGTGTACACATACATGTGTACACCACTAACCTTAGGACAATTAATAAGTAAGTATCATATATAGACAAATTAAAAATTGTGTGCATACACATTATACACGTAAGTATAAGTGATGCTCGTTATTTTTTTCAAAATGAAACATCATGAAAAGTTCTTGAATTAGTTAGTTATCACTATCATTATTCTCTTTATACACATATATATATATCAGACCGGAGACCAAAAACACCTTAGATCCATAACCATACACATACAAATATACATAGTTAGACCAAACAAATACACATACAATTTGATGTATAAAATGGTGTCAGCAATATATGAATTCAACATAATTTTGTTGCATGAAGACTATAGATGTTAAACATTTCAAAAAGGCTCACATATGTGGTAGATAAAAATTGTACATGTCTGTTTTAGTCCATTGAAAAGTGAATAGATTATATAGACTAAAGTTAGTCAGAAATTAAATGGCCAATAATGTGTGTTAAGCAGTAAATACACGAGGAAAAGAAATAATGAATGATGAAAGAATATTTGTATAAAAACAAAATTTTCTGCAAGAAAAATCGGGTCATTTTGATCACACAACATTATGAAGGCTTTCCAACCCGAATAAAACTAGTGGCATTAGACATGTTCATTATACTAACATTAACAATATTAGGTACACACTGAAGAGAAACAGGATCTGGAGCTGTTCTAAGACTATTTCTGTTATTTAGAGGAGCGGTCGATTAATGTTGAAATCGTTCGAAAATCACGAGATCGATAATACTTTTGACAACCACAGCAACAAGTAATCTAGGTACGTGGGATATCCAATCATTGTGGGAGACCGGGAGAATAATTGCAGTTGTTGAGAAAAAGTAGTGAAACTAAGTGATGGTGATTAGAACAAGTGAAACCCGTTGGGTGCAGGTTGAATAAAAACGATTAGTGTTCAGAGAGATGCAGTCACAAGGAAGAACATGACACACGCACAAATAGTGGCACTGATGCTGTTCAAAGAGAAAAATATCAGGGACCCAGGATCATCACAGCAAAGAAAGAGAGTTTTACAACGTCATTCGGTAATATGAACCCGCGAAAGATAACATGAAAAAGGATAAAAATCAATTTTATTAAAAGCTCCAGTCAATTGTCGAGTACAGCCCAAGCTATCTACAACGAAAATCCAGTAAGATTATATAGTGCATTTTATTGTTATTCAAGATCACTTTGAAGATAGTAACTCATTTTACAACAAATAAAACACTGAAAACGAAACTGGAAAACTTTTGACAGTCACATATTTAAATCACGAATATCACCGACATTTCGCAAAGCTCTCGAACAAACCAACATAATTAACCTACTGGTCGGTATAGCACATATAAACCTTCCTATAAATGTCACTTCACCAAAGCCGACGAAATCAGCATGACCATCCGACAAACCAAGTGGTAAAGCAGCAAAACCAGACAGCACACCAGCCGGGGCATTGAAAGACTATCACAAAAGTGAGTGCAAACATACTCCACGCTCTCTTCAGTAAGATTTAGGAGGAAGTATCGACAAACTAGAAAGCAGAATACCTCATCAAGATACCAACCAAAGAAAGGAGATCTCAGAAAGTAACGGGACTACACAGGCATCACTCTACTATCAGAACGAGAAAACGTCTTCAACATGGTGTTGCTAAAACGGATGAAAGATTTAGTAGACGCTCAGCTTCCAGGTCAACAGGCCGGATTCCATAAGGATCAATAGTGTACTGATCAAACCGAGACACTATGGATCACTGTTGAACAACCAATCTAATGGAGCTCATCATCAGACATCATTTTCCTTGACCATGAGAAAGCGATTGACAGCATGGATAGGAGAACCTCATGAAACCTACACTGGGGCGCACCTGAGAAGATTGTCAACATCACACAGAGTTCTGTAGACAGACTACACTGCAAATTCGTGCATGAACGGCAGCTTACAGATGTACTCCAAGTGAAGAACGGTACTACACAAGGCGCAAATTGGAGTAGACAATGTTAGTAACCAAATTTAGTAGGTATTACGTTTATTATGTGGTTACGTCTTCACGGAGATAACTTATGGACAGATACATTCCTCTATATCAGATGATCACAGATATTCATTAACCATTGTAACCCGAATGAGATTTTCCGAAAACCAAAACAATGACAACAATACACGATAATGGAAGTTTGCTTACAAATTAGGAGTATTTTTAGGAGTAAATTGAGCGAACATTCCTGCTGACATATCAAGAACCAGCTAAACATAATTTTTTTAAAGTATTATGATATCTGGATATGGAAATGAAATCATGAGTTTAATATTTTTAGCTAACAAACTCATTAATCTTGATGAATCATTAGGATGATACTGGTTGGAACAACAATTATTTGGCAGGAAGCCTACTAAACAAGGAACGGATTAATTGAAGGGAATTAAAAGAAGAAGTTTTAAGATTCAAACTGTATTGGAGTTTGGTAGCATGATTTAATTTTAATTTAAGGAATTTGAAAATACAATGTAACTGCTGAGTCAATAAAAAGTATTAAAATGGTAATATAATCTGTCATATCACTGTAACTTCTCGATGAAAAAATAGCATATAGACCGAACAAAATAAATAAAAATAAGATTAAATTAAAAGACACAACGATATCGAAATAGAATAATGCAAAAAGGCACAAGTTGTTGAAGTTCGTTACAACTATAAGTGAACAGTATATTACGAACTGGAACAAAAGAAAGATCAAACTATATTGAATGTTTAAAACAAGAACGAACAGATACTTATGCATCGTATTTGGTTTCAATTCAGTTTATAGTTCATTTTACCACTAGCATTTAACCATTACATGTTAATCAGACATCGTGAAAAGGTGGATTGACCCCATGTTGCCATACATGATTAGTATGACATGAAAATAACACACTAAAATCCGGAAAGAAGGATCGGAATAATGTAGTAGCAATGATTATGACTGACAAACTAAATCAAGTTGACAAAGAATGCATAAAATCAAATTGTTGACAAATAATTTTGTATGATTGATAACTACTGTTAGAGGACGATAACTATGAAATTTATATAATACCATTGAGATTACGTTAGTTTCTTTAACAAAAAGAAACAGTTATTAAATTTAGTTTTCCACTATAATTGATGTGGTAATATAAATTTCTTTGTTTTTTCATCATAATATTTCAATGAATAAAGAAATACTAACTTGAACTAATGCAGGTTCAGCTTTGTTTATGATAATCATTTGTATGCCTAAATAAATATTACCTTGAAACAAATAATCCGTAAATATATCCTAAAAGGTAGATATGAATATCTTCATTTAGTCATACAACTAAAAAAAAACGATCCACATAATTTTCTGTGATACCATTATCATCCAGCTTTACGATGGAATGTCAGTACTGTGACTATTTACGAAGAAAAACAACATGAAAAGAGATAAATATATAAGTTAGTTTATCTACAAACAATTTAGGTATATGGACCAATGATAATTTGATCAACCAGTAGTTAGAGATTGATAAAATTAAATTGAATAATTCACCAGGAAAGGTGAATGAAGAATAATATATTACATACGAAGAATTGAATGAAAAAACTTCAAATGAAGAAGGGTTACTACTATTACACTCTTTACTATTAGTAAGGAAGAATGCCAGTAAAGCACTAATCTCTCATAACATTACATATCAGTTGAAGAGTAAATTCAATTTATACTAAACTGCTTTTTTTTTAAAGAGACAACAATGCAATCATCAAAAAACTGATCGATCTTAACTGTCAATAGATTATTTTAGTGGTGGAACGGATTAATGGAAATTTTTTTCTATCAGAATAAGAATAGGTTGTTAACAAACCAATAAAAGAATTGATTGATGGCAGAGAGTAACATACTTTATTTCCATTACATTACAGTGTATGTAGATAATAAATAGATTATACATACATACCAAAAGAACGAAGTTCACAGAGAAATAAATTAATAAACGGTTGAAGAGTATAACACTAGTAATTTAATGCATTAAATGAATTAATTTTCATCCTTATACACCAGAACAATGAGCGAAAACAAAGATAAAAAAACTATAAAATAATGGATGATTGAGTTACAATTAACTGATACATAATAAGAATTTCACTATGCGAAAATTTGGTAGAATTAGATTGGTAAAATGAGTGGATTATTTCCCTGCCATGATTATCCCACCTTACCGTTTGTACTGAAGGGAAATAAACGATAACAATTTTGTTATTATTTATGAACAAGTATCCTATACATTTATGACATAATAATCTTTTGTAATATGAATAGCTGTGCATATCCGCCTTATATATATATATATATATATATATATATATATATATATATAATTTTAAAACGAAGATTAAAGAAATCAGACAAGCATGTTAGGAAATGGTTTATATGCAATATACTAAACTAACCTTACTGCCTCGAACCCTTTTGGGTCGAGTTTTGTTTGCGCCGGATGTTTGCTTACTGCTCACAGAAGAGCCGATTATATTTTCGCCAAGAATTCCATACATACCACGATCACAATTATTTACACTGCCGGGATCTGGCACAGTTGAAAAAGTAGGGATTGAATTTAAATGGACAGAGGAAGTTACTGTGGTAGGAGGCATTGATATAGAAGTGGGACTGAAAAACGACGGACCCACTGATCGACAAGGCATCATAGAAGTAGGTTGATGATATGGTGGTGGAGCTGGGGTTGAACTGACTATAGCCATATTCATTACATTGGCATGAATTGGACCATTAATGAGATTACCGGGAATCGGAGAAGAAACAGGCATAGTCATCATCATTAATGGGGAACTATTTGGGACAGACCCATCAAAATCATTTTGAAGCAAAGGGATCTTTAATTGGATGGAATGAAATAAGATAATAAAAGAAGTCCTGTTTATGCGAACACCACATGTATTGACAAAATTTTATGAGATACATCTTACCGAAAATATAAGGTAAACTTATGACATGAATGTGAATTTTTTTGAATTATGTATCCAAAAATATCATCTAATTTCGGTTAACTTTCTTTGCATCATCAGTAGCGACGATGAAATATGTCTGTTTAAGGCCGAAAATACTGCACAGCAGCAACTCTGTGTAACCCAACAGCTGTGGAATGTGACATGAAAGTAAAAGAAATTCATTCAGAGTATTTGATGACAGAAGTCTTCGAAAAATCGCTCGTGTACTGCAGAAACACGGAGTGACTAAAGGTGGGATTTGGAGGTTATAAAGCTTTGTCAATTTGGATAGTTGGAATGATTCTCAAAGCTAGTTACTGCCTACAAGAATGTATAATTTTAGTTAAGGTAGGAGTAAGTTGTGAAAATGGGAAGGTTTAACTGAATGTTGGGGTGAATGGAAGTGACAAGTACAAACAAACAACTTTAGATCTATTATCTATAGAACGTTGCGATAACGAAGCTGTATTTATTTTTGGACTTCACTTATATTTTAAGCATAACGTTTTTCTCAAACTAGTGAGATTCGGTCTCACTTGTCTGGTTAGACTTAAATTCAATTCGATAAAGAAATGTTCAGTAATTTTTTCATTTCATCTCGTAAACTGAATTTTTCACTGTGAAGGATGAATACTCGGAATACACGTCTTTGCTAAATCTTACGATCGTTATGAGCAACGAATTGAGGGTTCCCTGAAAGCATACTGGTTTATGAGCATATAAACAACTATAATCTATCCTAACACGTGAAGCAATAAATTAACTACGTTACCAGATCACTTGCTATCGAAAAATGACCATTTTCCAGTTTCTCCTGCCCAGTTTTAGAGAAGACATAAAAAATTCTGGAAAGATATCCAAACAACTGCACCCGATGCTCCTAGCTGGCAACATGGACTGAACTTTTGTTATCGTTAACAAACTGAGCTTTATATCCAACTAGGGAATATGTACCTTTCAAGTGAATATGGCTAGGGTTATTTAATTAGCTGTGTAAACATGAACAGATTCTGCAACAATGTTAGAAAAGTAACCATCCAGTGATTTGACCTCTGTTAATGGGTCAGGACATCTAACAGAGTTCGTAAGTTAAATAAATGTAAAGCGTACAAAGAACATGGAATTAAAACGATACAGATAAAAGATGACATGAATTAAGCTATTTTAAGACAACACAGCTGAGGTTTGTAAGCAAGTGTTTACAAAACAGATCACTCATTTTATTATAATGATACCTCATCCAAACAAATTCATGAGAGCTCTTACAAAGGCTTAGCTACTGTGTGCACTATAATTTGAAATTATAATTTATTTAAGACTTTACAAAAGAGATATCCACGCTGGGACAGAAACATACTGAACAGCTAATCTATGAATTGATTAATAAACGTAGTAACTTGTAAGATGGAAATACAGATTGTCTCTAAGCTCAGCTACAACATTTCAGTGAAAAATAATATTGTAATCAAATTGGATATCGATTCAGATTTTAAAAAGACAATAACCGTACTTTATGACCAAGAATAAAAAGGAGGACAAATTCAGTTCAAATACACACATATATACCTGAGAGTTATTCCCACTGAATGATGTCGATGTAGATGGATTTAAGCCAGACGAAGTGTGAAAATTTGAATTTAACATCATTTCATTACATGATGATGCTGATGATGGACCAACACCACCACCACCATTACTACCTATTGATACGGCAGACATGACAACTTCACGACTGCCGGAAGAGATAGGTCGACTAGGTGGTGGTAAGTAGCAGAGATCACCAACACCTGAATTAACCTACAATAAACATGTCAATAACAATCTTTGCACGAATAACGTCACAATAATAGTAAATTTTCAAACTACTATAAAAGAAAAGCCATAACAGTCATGAAATAGTTTACCAAGTAAGAAAAAAAGTTTCTTTTTGAACAACTCATTGAAATTAAAATCTTCTGATTATTGATTTTACCCAGACAATTGACTCATTTTTCTTAGCCATCGAAGCTAGCTTTCACTTAAACAATACTAAATATCAATTTAATAGTATTCAATTGTAAGTGGTTATATATAATTAGTGTATACTAATTAATCAATATTAGGTGAAATGCATTTCAGACATTTTCGGTCAACTTATTCATCGTTGTTGTGAGTTGGTAAGATTCACAAATGTTTGGTTTATTTGTTTTATTTTATTTTAGATAGATTGTTTTTTTTTGATCAGTTCGCATGAAGTTTCGCGCAAAGACTAACGAATAAAATTATTAAAATTTATTAATGTTAAAATCATTGAGACAGAGAAGTTGGTGAATGGTGTTAATTGGTGGTACAGTTAAAGTTGCATAATAAAGATAAACAAACTTAGACAGGCTAAATTGGCAACATGTGATGAATAAGTTGTAGATACGATGTTAGAAAGTGAAAACATGATTATTTAACATTTACACCAGTCTTCTACATCACTATAGTCCTTCATAGGTTTGGGCAATTAGAAGCTTCAGGATGAAACCCCAACAAAACCATCTCACGGACCTAGGAATATTTGTTTCCTGATTTTTCAATAACAGAATTTACAGAGCTATTCCTAAAATGACAGAAAATTTCTAATTTAATACAAATTATGAGACAATAATTTTGTTTATAAAAAAGAAAAAAGAATCTGAAATGAAAAGTTGTGAAACAATTAATTCGTTACATAAATGTATCCAGTAGACGATACAGTAATACAAATAACTCGAAAAAGACCACAAAACTATCTGGAACTGGAATTAGTAAAACTTACATGAGACCCTATGACCCTTGAATTTCCACCTGGCATTAAACATGGAGGAGTTGAAGGATTGGGTACGACCGTTTGGTTACTGCCAATTGCAGATGGCACAGAATTTCCTGTAGGAGGACATGAATGATTGTACATTGAAGTAGTACCACTATTGACATTACAACTACCAACCGACCTAACACCAGATTGCAAAGATCCTAGTCCAACGATTGGTGAAGGATTTGAAGAACATAGGGAGACTGATAGCTGCTGGGGGGGCTGTTGCTGTAACGTATGATGCATAGTAAGACAGCTGTTGCCCTGAGCGTCTCTGGGAGTAGTCGAGCGCGTTACTACAGATGCTGTTGTTTGGGAGCTCATGGCATTTGGACTTGGTCGGAAAGCTGGTGACGTTTGTGTGAACTGTTGATTACCATAACCTGAAGCTGAGTAAACACTCGAATTGTTCAAAGGACGTGATTGTTGAGAGCTATACATTTGTTGTTGCTGTATTACAGGTGTAGAAGTTGGAGGATTGGAAGAGACTTGGGTCCGGCAACCAGCAGGTGGCCTGGATGATTGCCCAGGACCACAGACTGAGCCTGGCACCATAGTGTTGCTAATCACCTGAGGTATTGTGTTGCACGTCGACATCGCTACAGAGTAAGGAACAGCAATTCCAGCTGCTGGTTGCGAGACTGAACATTCAGAAGAATACGGAAGATACATTGGAGATGATTGGAAAGCTACAATACAGGATATTTTTTAAAATGATTGCGAATTCTACAGTTATTTAAATGCTAAAATTGATCCGATAATTAATCAAGGGATTTATGAATTTATCCCGATTATACAAAAATAGATAGTAGGTAATTATATTCTCTACACAACAATGAAGATAAAGGATTTGAAGTTAATCCGACAACTGGTATCGAGAGGGTAGGTCCGAACCGTACAATCTAGATAATTACAAGGATTTATCATGACTTGAAACTATTCAATGGACAAATAAAATAAAACACAGAAATATATAAATCGAAAACATAACAAACGCGTTGAGATAAGGTCAGATTTAACATATACTCTGCTACATAGTCGATTTCTGATTTGAAGATAGTAACTCATTTTACAACAAATAAAACACTGAAAACGAAACTGGAAAACTTTTGACAGTCACATATTTAAATCACGAATATCACCGACATTTCGCAAAGCTCTCGAACAAACCAACATAATTAACCTACTGGTCGGTATAGCACATATAAACCTTCCTATAAATGTCACTTCACCAAAGCCGACGAAATCAGCATGACCATCCGACAAACCAAGTGGTAAAGCAGCAAAACCAGACAGCACACCAGCCGGGGCATTGAAAGACTATCACAAAAGTGAGTGCAAACATACTCCACGCTCTCTTCAGTAAGATTTAGGAGGAAGTATCGACAAACTAGAAAGCAGAATACCTCATCAAGATACCAACCAAAGAAAGGAGATCTCAGAAAGTAACGGGACTACACAGGCATCACTCTACTATCAGAACGAGAAAACGTCTTCAACATGGTGTTGCTAAAACGGATGAAAGATTTAGTAGACGCTCAGCTTCCAGGTCAACAGGCCGGATTCCATAAGGATCAATAGTGTACTGATCAAACCGAGACACTATGGATCACTGTTGAACAACCAATCTAATGGAGCTCATCATCAGACATCATTTTCCTTGACCATGAGAAAGCGATTGACAGCATGAATAGGAGAACCTCATGAAACCTACACTGGGGCGCACCTGAGAAGATTGTCAACATCACACAGAGTTCTGTAGACAGACTACACTGCAAATTCGTGCATGAACGGCAGCTTACAGATGCACTTCAAGTGAAGAACGGTATTACACAAGGCTGCCTACTCCCACCTTACGTCTTTCTTCTGGTGGTTAACTGAGTTATGAAAACTTTGACATTTTAAGGAAAGCATAGAACACAGGACACGTTGGATGTAGTTGAACAATCTCAACTTCACAGATGACTGAGCTCGTCTATCCCACGCACAGTAACTAATACAAGTTAAGAAAGCCAGTGTAGCAGTAGTCTATGCAATAAAGGGGTTCAACGTTCGCAAGGGCGAAAGTAACATCGTAAAATACAGTACAAAGACCAGAAAACCAAATCACACTTGATGGTGAGGCTCTGCAAGAGGTGAATCCTTACATAACTGTGTAGAAACAGTTACATGCCCAGACAGCATCACTGATAAATGAGGAGGATCTGATGCAGATATGAAGATAAGGACTGGTAAATTATGGGCAGCATTCCTTCAACTGAAGATCTTGGACTCAAAACAACTGAATTCTCAAATACAAACATTGAGTCTGTTCTACTGCACAAAGCTGAGACTTGGAGAAAAGCTACTACTATCATCAAAAAGGTACAGGTATTTGCAAACAACTGTGTACGCAAGATACTCCAGATCCGTTGGCCAGAAACCATTAGCAACAACCTGATGTGGAACAGAAGAAACCTCTTTCCAGTTGAGAAGGAAATTAGGAAAAAAGCGTTGGAGGAGGATAGAATACAGATTGCAGAGATTACCAAGCTGCGTAACAAGGCATGTCCTAACTAGGAATCCTCAAGGTAAGAGGTAAAGAGGAAGACCAACAAACATAGTGAACGCGAATTGGAGGCAGACATCAAAGCAACGAATAGTACCTGCCAACAGCTGGAAAAGATAATCTAGGAAATAGTTGTTTAGATGATCATGGTCGACAGCCTAGGCTCCACGGGGATAACAGGTTCAGTCACCAGGAGGTCCGACTAAGAGTCACTGAATGCTAGGTCAGAACTCTTTGGGGGGAATGAGATAATGTTGTTGGTACTCACAGTTAAAGGGAACATCGTACCGAAGTGCATTGTTGATGAGTGAATCGATTTTTACATTTAATTAACGGACCTAATGAAGTTCGTTATGAATGTTGTGCTTTGCACTAACTACTAAATAAAGCATTCAGACTGAAGAACATTTGTTTACTTTTAAGGGGATTTATTAGTGGTTTAGATAACTATCTATTTCATCATTAATAAAACAATTTTGAAGTTTTCAATCAGTATAACCGAGACACTTTTGATCAAGGTCATAAGTACCATTGCGTGCTGTGAATGAATTATAGAGAGAACACATAACAAAATCAAAACTATGATCTACAATAAATCAATCGAAGTAAATCTCAGTGTTTAGAAACAAAGGACTTAGTAGATTAGCTACAATGCTCACACAAAAATAATGAATTTCAAACATTTTTCTCACCAAAATCATAAATTACACCATGAGAAAGAATGTGGCGGATAAGTTAACATTTCATATTTTATTCAGTGATAAACAAGTTGACGATGGTATCAAGTGGCAAATAAACTTATGAAGCATATTCTCGTACTGTGAGATGGTTCTTAAAGTACAATTATCAAATGAGGCACTTATCCTAACCACACATTGTGGAATAATAATGACATCTAAATAGTTTAGATTAACAGTTCAGTTCTACAGTGCAACTATACACATCTTAATAATTCAATTAGAATATCTTACTATTAAATAATATCATCCCAAATCAAACATTTAAAAGCAAAATGTAAATTAAAAAGGCTAATAATTAGTGCAAACAAATATAATAAAAAATATCCCGTAAACTTACAAGCTGATTCAGAGGATACAGCCCTGGTGGTAGATGATCGACAAGAAATTTGTTGTAATTGAGGAATATTTCTGTTGACAATATTCTGAGTCCCCATAGAAATAATAGATGTTCTTGACTGATGTGATGCTATTGTGCTACAATTCGGAGCCGAAGGCAAACCATATGAGGAGATAGTTGCGTTAGACATTACTTGAGAATGTGGTAAAGCACCATTTGCATTAGGATTTCTAATATAATTCAAACTGGGAGGTGATTCAGATGTAGATAACTGTTGAGAAGCTACTTTATCTAGGTTGGGATTTAAAACCGTACTTGGATACTGTTGCTGTTGAAATGAGGACACTTGAGAGTTTATCATAACATCACCATAAGATTGCTGGATTTGAGGATATTGTTGCATTTGAAAATTAGATTGGTGTGTTGCCATTTGAGGCTGTGGGCTCATTGTTGTGCTTGGACAACTGAATCCAGGAGCGGAAACTGAACCATGATAGATAGCCTGGTTAAAACTCATTGGTTGTACAGGTAATGGTTGACTGTTTGCAACACCATAGCTAAATGCATCACGTTCTCTGTACAAATCTGGTCCATTTACAATATTAGTTTGAAGAATAGGAGGATATGCACATGCAGGTCTAAATTTCATAAGAAAAAAACAGAATTCTGAAATACAAGTAATATTACTCACAGGACATATAGTAATTTTCCACTTCAAACTGAGACAAATAAAGTAATACTCAACACAACTGAAAAAGCTATTTAGTATTTAGGCATAAAATTCTTGCGAGACTTTCCTGACTAAACATAGATTGCCTTAACATGATGATACTTTTTATCAAAAAGTGACACCAACAGAACCGATCGAAAACGTTTAACGAAACGAGACAATGTAATTGTTTTAGTTTGGAAATTCTCATCAATATGTACTTACGACTGCAATAGTTCAAACCCAAGTGCTTTTCGATCAAGCGGAAGAGTACGGGACCCTTTTTTCCTAATAAGAGTAAACCAAATAGCCAAAGCCTCCAAATTTAATCACTCTATGGTACAATGTGGCCGTCAACCAATATTATTAGTGATATATCAATTCAAACACTTAATGGTAGTAAAATAAAAAACAAGTGTATTGTAAAGACTACATGAAAAACTAGTCCAAATGAATAAAATCGGTCAGTCATAATCAACGTAGAACTAGTAAAAATTGTACTTTATTTTAAGTTGTCAGTGTAGTATGATAAAGGAGATAAAATCAATAGCAATGGAATCTTAGTAATGGCAGTATTACTGATAATCAGAGACTGAAGTAAAGAGTTTAAGAAAGAATAAAGAGGATAAGTAAGGGGGAATACTAGAACTTAAGATCTAATGTCGAATAAAGAGTACCTATATCACTCAAATTGGTTGTCAGTTATATCACCTAAGGTGATATTGTTTGAACCCTAACCAAGAGGTCTGAACTCACCAACACAAAGCAGACTAACATTCAGTAACTCCATTGACTAATATATCATGCCACGTAGAGACCTGAACCATTACAATTGATCCGTAGAAAGTGTTTAAGTTTCGTGATTCTGATAATTGCAGTGAGCGTACGAAAGATTTTTCCAATCATCTCAACTAATAGTACGAGGTCTTAGTGACCCAGCAGTGAGAAACAGTTTATCAATTCATATACAATAGTCAGAGAAAATCTGTGCAACCTTTCATGTGGGTTAACAAATGTAAAATCTAGGTACAAATAATGAAGATTATTAAAATACAAAATGATCAAGCTAGTAATGGAGTAGTTTTGTAGGTAGTTGATATTACTACGCTTTCAAAATGAAACAGATCAGGATCAGAAAATATGCCCGAACTTTGAGACATACCAATTATTAATAAAATTTATTATTAGTGATGCTTAGTCTGTCATCTATTGCACTTGTCAACGCAGGATGGCATTAACTTTCACAAGGAATAATAAAGAATGGTATCAGTACAAACAAACGAGAACATCTCTAATCCATCTAGGGCAGCTAATTTGAATGCCTGAGAAAGGACATTAGTTTTGAAAAATTCGAAGAACATACGATAAGAAGAACGTACATACATAGACAAGCTATCAAAAGGAACACCTAGAGTAATACAATTAGTGATGTCTGTATGTATTGCTGAATGTATAATAGATACAGACACACGCATATTAGATACACAAATAGTTGGATAGACAGGCAGGCCAAACAATAAATTAATACAAATGAGAGTGAATTACTTTGATTAACGCAAGCCAATCAACAAACCGATCAATGCCATATTATTAGTACTAAAATTTGAAACGGACAATATATTAGTAGCAGTAGTAGTAGTAGTAGTGGGTGGCAAGTGCAGTTTGTTTTGTAAAGGCTTGAGAGACAATGGCACACCACAACTTTACCAATGAGACAAGATTGGAAACCGAACTAGCAGAAAAACTAAACCCAGTTTGGACAACGAACTATGGTAAAATTAACCAATCACCAAGGTATAGATAAACATAATTTCAGAAAGATTATTAGTTACATGAAAGCGATGGTAGAGTAAGAGGAAACAAATATAAAATAACTGTAGATGAAAAAAAGACTGGCAATTTATCATCAGTAAATACACACACACATGCCTACGGAGGAAACTGATGCAACAATAATGATATCGGGTAGTCAAATAAAACAAGTAGACATGCATGAAATTAGAGCATTCAAAAAATCACTAGTGAAGATGCTAGGACTGAATAAATAAATACATTATAGCGAAATACGATGTGGTCAACACGATAGATTTATCCACAAGATCAATTAGAATCTTCAAATGAGGAAAGGTTAATTGAACTAAAAGGAGGTTAACTTGTCATTACTAATTACAGGAGAAATTTCTGTCTAATAATAATTCACCATCCAGATTCACTGGTAGAGTAGGAGATGAGAAGAGTTAGCTTTCCCTTTTGAGATACTTTCCTACAGCATTCATGATCTCTCCCAGAGAAACCCTAGTGACCTCATGTGACGTGTTTCTACAAGTGAGAGTGTAAAGATAGGTAGGTGTACAGGACTAAAACACGTTGGTCATTAGCGGGGCTCCACCTCAATGATTTGGAGAGTCCCGACTCCATAAATGAATAATTTATAAGGGCTGGAAAACTATCGCTTTATCTTGGTAAAACTTTTATCTGTGGATTTCGAGTTATTCCTTGAATCAAATACATTTGTTTCTTTTCGTCGAACTTAATTCGTCTTGTGTTATCAACTGGTGTGACAATTTATGAATCGTATTTTTAATTAAAGATAGATTAATAAAATGAAGTGTTGTTTGAACAAAAACCAATGTCCGGCTGGCCAAACCTTCGACCAATTGTATTTGCAAATTGTAACACATAATGTCACAAACTGGCTAAAATATCAGAGACGCGTGGATAATTTTTAAATAATGTGCGTAAATATAATAAGGGTGTACCAGTTAGCTCAATAGACTATCAAACCAATTTGTTTGTGCATGTAGAAAAATATCGGACAAAATGCTATTATTGTGGAGGTGGACGGATAGCCACGAAAAGTAGTTCGTAAGAATAAGAATAAAAAAAAGCAGAATTCAGGTTTCTTAGAAATAAGGTTTGAACATCAAGTCCGCCACAGTAAAGCTTGAGAATCTGTAACGAAACCTTAGCACTTATAATTTTGAAGGAGCTAATAATCACAAAGACATGAACAATTCGTCAATCCAAAGTTGAACATTAAGGAACTAAAGTCAGAGTAGGGAACGTCTTACCAACAGAAACCGACTTTTAATTCGAAGCTCAGGAGGACAGATACTAATTTAGTTATTACGACAATTCCATGATATAAAATTAGTGTCAGCCTTGAAATATGATGCTTACAGGTATAGAATTTACGCAGAAGGAATTTTAGAGGAATCAAACTAAGATATCGTACACATACATGTAGCTGAATGTGGTTACCTATAGAGAAAGAAGTTCTTTATAGCAGTATTTACTGGAAGAGAAACCTTTGATGGGTTATCCGTGGGATAAATGTTTTCAATATTGAGAATGATATAACTTTTTATCTATTTTAAGTCTAAGGATTTTTCGAGGTTAAACTTAGAAATGTGTGCAACTTAGTGTTTAAAAACATTCTGTCATCTGTTCACATCGTTTTTGAGTGTATTTTCCGTATATACACCACATATTATTTACATAGCGCAGACATTAAATCTGGTTACACGCGATTTTTATTTAGTACTACTTATGAACAGAAAGAGTTAAGAAGCGCTTCAAACAATGCCAAAGTTAGGAATAGGGTACTAGGTAAAGATGGCAAATCGATTGTAGCAGTGATTCTTCATGAGCTAAAGTGGTTAGAACGCGTTACGTATGATCAACCACTATCTACCTTGACGAGCAATGTTGACTCATGAAGCAGTAGGCTGGAGAAAAGATAAGGGTGACCAAACCAAAACATGGCATAAATCTGTAAAGTAGCTGGCAACTGGACTGAGCCATGTTAGTAGGTGAAGACAACCCAGTTGCAGTCCGAAACACAACTGTAACTGGTGATTAGAGACTTAGAATGACATGGCTCAGAATCGCTTGCAATGATGCAGATGCATCCATTCTTTCAAATTCTAAACTGAAGTTCTTATGACTTTTTATCTCTCTTTAAATTTGTTTCACTGGATTGTACTTCTCGAATCATAATTTTGAAGCCTAATCTTTTCCATTAACACCAATACCGCTATTAACTCTACTACTATGGTATTTTAATTAGCGATTCCGTGTGTGTGGTAATACGGTATGACAACTTGATGTACGTACGTACCAAGTTTTATGTTGGAACTGACTGACTGACTAATTATAGTTCTCAGTCTACTATGGTGCGATTAGAAGGTACTTGAAACTATATAACCCAGCCACTGAAATTAAATGTAGGGTAATAACTAGCTTGTCTGTCACTAGTAATGGAAATGTACCAGTTTAACTGAAAGAAGTTATCTTAACTGCAGTTGTAACCTCAACGTAGTTGATGGATGAGGTTAACTAGCGCCGTGAATAAAATCTGTCAATTTAGTTTAACATTCGCAGACTGTTCATAATTCATCTGGGTAGTTTGTAATAACTCATCTGGTGAAAATTAGTTCACTACCACTAAAAGAATTTCAATAAAGGAGTAAAAACAGCCAAGTACTCGTTAAACCGTATTGGCTTACCACTGTTAGATATTGAAAACGACTACAGAGATAATGAGTTCCTAATGACTGCTTCGATTCAATGCGTCAGTGATTTATTTAATGACTGGTAACCTGCATTTCATATGGGGAGCCGTGATCTGTAACCTGCGTTGTTTGAGATCGTGATATGAAAAAGTAGAAAATAATGTTTCAAATTAGTACGAAGCAACTCAGTCTTTGAGATGTTTTTAGTCACTGTAAACTTGTCATCTAAGATAATAATAAAAACAGTATGTGCATCGCTAAGCAATAGAGCACTTGTCTACTGTTCAAAGAGATCCACTTACACTACATTTCACGTGCAGTTTGAATGTTTCAGAAATATCGGTGCAAAATACGGGGTGATTATATAACAGTAGGATATAAGTGGTTTATAAGCAAGTCATCTGGACTTAAAAATGCAACTCTAATTTTTACCTTCAGTATCTAAAAAATTAAAATCGAGTTTTGAAATTTGACCGTTTAAAACCCAGTAGCTATAGCCTAAACACGGGGGAAAAGGTGAAACTAGTATATAAGATTTTATATCCAACTTTCGAAAAAATTAGGTGTGACTAGCCTACAGTTAGCAGATAATCAGTGAGTATGTCCTACTACATTCATGTCTATCTCTTGTTCACTATCAAACTCAATTGATGAACAAACAAATCTTGAGGCGTAACCAGATTTCGGAATACTTATTTAAGGATACACGATAGACTAACTTTTAAGGACATGAGCGTGCACACATCTATGTGCATAAATTCTAGGTTAATTTAGCGGACAATTATGCTTTTTTAATAAACTGGAAGTATAAAAAGTAGGTTTATGTACAAGTAGATGTCAGAAAGGAATAAAAATCTATGCAAATTATCTGAAAAGGCCAAGTAAAGTTTTAAATAAACAAAATGACCATACTAGGTATTATAATATTTTGGTACACTATACACCAAAAATCCTAAGGAGGATTACTACAGGTAGTTTTAGTGCATTCTTCATAAGAACCAGGGGAACGAAAAATAATCAAATTAATGTCTGAAATAGAAAGTGTTTACTATAAGCTTTTGAAATCCACACCTTTTTTTGTCTCGATGGAAATAACCTATACGATATGCGTAACAATACCTTGCCATTTCACTGGTGGATTATGTCTATACTGGGTCACAATTACGAAATATAAAAGCTTTCAGTCATTGGTGAATCGCTTTTGGTAAAGCAAAACAATAATGGTCACTGGGATATACACTAAGCTAGGTACTAAAGAGCTATTCACTTTTCCACTCATCGGGATTATAATAATATATTGTTAAAACAACTAACTGAACTAATCGAAAATAAAATTTATTAGTTGAACCAGTACTTTTCATGTCCTAATAGTTTTTGTCACTAGAAGAAAGACACAAAAACTTACCTCATCTTAAAAACATAGATATGAATAAAAGATCGTTAGAACGGAACTGGTTGCTATCCGTATGTGGAAAAAGTTCATCTACGTGTAACCGTCCGCATATTATATCAGGAAAGTATATGAAAATTATTTTATATATTCAACAAGGATCCAAGGGAATTCGGGTTGGTAGTTCAATACAATTGTATTACGCTTGATAATCTAGGGTATCAAAAACCCTGGTAACAGTCTAGATCATAGAAAGCACAGTAAAGGGAAACGGTTAAGTGCGAAACATTATGTAAACAAACCGATACTCAGAAAAACAAATCTCAACTAGAAAAAATCGTGAATTCACAAAACAAGTAGTTACAAACACTACCGTAATTAGGATGAAGACGACGAAAATTATGAATTTACAAATGGCAACAAAGAATCATCAGTCTTGTAAATGACTTATTACATGTAAGGAATACACATCTAACAAACTGGCCAAGCTTCAGTCGTACAGTCAGTCAGATGCAATTTGGTCTCGCGTGCTGTTACGGGTATGAAAGCGTATGTCCCATCCCGTCTGCCCACACCGTGGAAGAGTGTTTCTTGAGGGACCTGAAAAGGAAGATAGATTAGTGTTGGTCTTAAAGATCTGGGAGCGTGACCGCAGAGTCCGAGAGACAACTACTTGAGGCCGGTCACGCACGGCTTTTGATGAGAGGTTTTTAGAGTATTAGCTCCGCTCTTTTTAAAAGCCCTTACTGAGCAGCCCTTATCGCCGGAGACGGAAATCCGTGAGGTATGATATTTTTAGGGTCGACCTTTTCTAACCCTTCGTTCCTTGTGAGAAGGTGGCAGATGCTGGTTGTCCGAGAGAAACACCTTACTGAATTTATACCCCTCTACAACAAGCAGTACGACTTCGCCCTCAGACCTTGAGTAGCTGCTTTTAGTCTCATCATTCTCCAATCGACCTGCCTAGCATGGTAGAACCTTCAGGAACATATGTTCCAGCCAATATAGCTCGGTTGGGTCATCACGATAGGCAAGCCCGACCACCACGTCAAGGTAGCAGCTACGGTCAGGTCAGTCATACAGTAAGACGGAGAGAACTGCTACACAGTAGACTTGTCCTTTGGTTAGCAAACGGACATCCCGCCTACTCCTGAAATGACACATATTAGCCAGTTGAGTCTTCTGTATCCGTGCTGAGATTTCTTCACACACCAGACCATCAGCACTGGTCAGACTCCCAAGATGAGTGGAGTGGTCAACACACTTAACTACTTCACCCTCTATCACAAGTTCAGGTGCCGACGCAAGCCAATCCTGAAGCAACATTTGGCGTCTAGAGGAGGAGAATCGCATTCCCAACATGCTTGCATTGCTGCTTAGGGTAGTCAGAAGACTGCATTTTGTTATTGTCTTCACCAAGTAGAACTATGTCATTAGCATTTTCTAAGTCAACAAGCCAATCTTCTGGTAGAGGGTCAATCCCTGAAAGTGTCGTATCTAAAATAGTGTCCATGACGAATTTGAATAAGAATGGACCGCCCTGAAGAACACGACGAAGTGATCAATCCCGATGACAGTTCGGCTTGAGCTCCGACTCGACTAGTCGTGTTTGAGTAGAGAGCCTGTATAGGGTTAGTGTATTTCTTTGGTACTCTTTTCAATGACAAACATTGCCTTAGAACCTCACGGTTGACAGAGTCAAACTCCTTCTTAATGTCGGGAAATACTACTATTTTGGGACGTCTGAAATTGTCGAAGCGTGAATATCTGGTCTATACAGTCATGTCCAGGTTTGAAATCAGCCTCGTTTTCTTGAGTCTGCTCTTCACGAGCGTCTAAGTATTATCGAGGCTGACATTTTAGACATTATTAGTTAAACTGATTCTTCTGTGATTGTCATAAGGGGATTCTCCCATTACAGCAATATAAGAGGGAGGAAAGGACCAATATCCACAGCAATAGTTAGGTATTCAAATTCATAAATGATGTTTTCAATAAAATTTTGCTAGGGCAAACAAAATCCATGAGATCAACCATATTAAATTGTCAGTGTGCTATAATTTTCCCATTGATTTCTGAATGCGGTTGGTGATATCTGTAAGTAACTGTTCTCCCTTGATCACACTCCTGAAGATTACTGCGAACTACGTCAATATCAACCTTGCTTCTGAACCATTAAGACCGTAGAGTCTTCGATGCTTCCTCTGTAATGACTCTTCTTTCGTGAAAAACCATTCTTTGTCCCTCCTTCTTCCCTGGTATCACTGCTCCCCAATCTGTTAAACTGACTTTTCTATTAGCTTCACTGATTTCCTTGTATTATTCGCCCGCCACAACATGTACGTCTTTGCTTGTGACATACGTTCGGAAACTAAACACATGTGAACTTCATCTCAGAAAACAACTAATTAGCTGAGCCGAAAAGCTTATATTTTTCATCAAAATATTCAGTGGTGATACGACTAAAATCGCACCACAAAAGCTAAGTCAGCTTCCAAAATGTCGACAGTATCCTACTAAGCAAACCTTTCATGACTTAGTTTTATTTACTAAAAGTTGCTTATTACAGTTCAGTAACTAAGTCTGTGGTTGGTTTAAAGACGATAGGTTACAGTATTAAAATACAGAATATTTTAGAACCGTATACATATGTAGATCGTCTTACCACTTGTAAATATCTTAAAAGTATTTCCGATATAACTGTTTCTAGTCTCTCAACTACAACAGTTATGGCTGTGTAATAAGTTCTATTGGGATGAAATTAAGTGAGTAATATACATATATATATATATATATATATATATATATATATCCCTTTCTAAAGTTATCTCACTATTATTTATCTTCGATCCCTAATATTCTCCATTACCGCTAATTCTTCTACAACGTTTACTACTATGGAATTTGACAATTGCATCTCTGTGCTAATGTGGTATGGCAACTTAAACGGATGTACGTATGCATGAACTTCTACGTTGTAAACGACTGACTGACTGAAAATGAGTGAGAGAAGAGAAAAAATAGATGCATTTGTACCATTGCAAACGATTTTCAGCCATGTCGTTTAAAGTCTCTAACCACCGACTGCCACGATGAGCTGTTTTGTGGTGCAGGTGTATTCTGGAACAAAGCTAGGGACGGCTAAATCAAAACATGGCACAAAACCATGAAGTCACCGACAACTGGACTGGGCCATGTTACTAAGTGTAAACTACCTGATGGGGGTCTACCGGACTATATTAATAGATGGTTAGAAGAGACCTTGAATCACATGGCTCGAAATCCTTTGCGTAACTCCACTTGCAGCACCCCCGGTCTCAATCCCAACCAAAGGAGGAGGGTCGGGCTTGGGGTTGGCGAACCCATTTTGTAGAAAACTAACTCACCAAAAAACGCTAACAAGTCCAAATAACTCAAACTATTTAAACTTTTCTCTGTGAGTTAAGTCCCGATCTAGAAGAGTGATGATGTCTCATGGTAACTTCCTTCGGAAGTTACGAGGCCGACGCCCTTTCCGACAACCAGAGCCCTTCCACAGTACTGGTAGCCGTAGATTAACATCCACCCCAAACTCGCAGAACCACAATAGATAGTCGATCACAACCAAATCCCTTCTGCACCTCTTAACAACTCCCTTATCTAAACGACAAACCATTCCTTCGTTCAATTGTCAACTCGCGCCGCTGAAGCAGACGATTCAGGCTCACGAAACATTCTTCCTGGTCTCCTGAAACTACGCTCTACACTGCATATTGGAGCTCTTAAAGTTTAGATCTTGTGTCAAATAGGGCGACAGGCTTTAGTAGCTAGGACTCTGTAATCCCGTGCAATTGATGTGTTGCCTCTCCGAAACGCGCATACACGATTCGAGTAAAATTATCAGTTTGGATTCACCTTGTGCAGTTAGAGAGACAAGGTTTACCCTTCGCGTATCTGGAATTCCTGCTTCTGCTTCCCTTGGCCTCGCCGGTGTAGGTCCTAGGGCAGAACTAGCTTTCCTAGACTGGATCCCAGTTGGCAGTCGCTTATGCGCTGCCCGACTAAAGAGGACAGTAAGGACTCGGACGAATAGGGACACTCTCTGTCGCCTGTTTGTTGTCTCTACCTACGCTCCCACTGACTGCAGTTCTGACGAGGTGGAAAATGGGTTTTGCAGAAAGCTTTCAGACCTCCTCCAAGACGTTCAGCGCTCTGATGTAGTAATAATGGCTGGTGACTTCAATGCTCAAGTATTTAGACTAAGTGAAAAGGAAAGACACCAGGGTGGATCTTATGGTGTCGCGACAGATCGAACAGACAATGGCGACCGCCTACTGCAGCTATGCCCAGACAATCGCCTGTTTCTAGCAAATACTAACTTTAAGCACAAGGTAAAACAACTTTTGACCTGGCGACCCCCAAAGCCAACCCAACTAGATCACATCGCGATAAGTCATTGGTGGAAGGGCTCTTTTGAAGACTGCCGCTCATTCTGGAGCATTAGTTTAAATTCAGACAATGCTCTAGTGCGAGCGCGTATCTGTTTGAGGCTTACTGGACATAGGAAAGACATCGCAAGAAAACCTCTTAGGGTTCTACTTAATGGTAAAAAAGCTAAGAATATATTTCAGGAGCAACTAGAAAAACAGCTAGGCAGCGATGTAAGTAATGCCCACTTTGAGGCAGTTTGCAATTGTATCCAAAAGGCTTTCGAAACAGCAGTGACATCTGCTAGTAAAGTAAGCCATAATGTTAGAGAGAATCCATGGATTTCAGTAGCGTCTACCGAACTGATAGACGCCCGAAAACTCATCCCACCTGGCTCTGAACATGATGAAGAGTGGAGTCAGCTTAGGCGAAGTTCTACGTTTTAGCTGACTGGCTGTGATGGGAGAATGAGAAAAAAAATAGCCCGTTTAATTTTTTTAGCAATATATTGTACTTTGTAAATGGCAATTCGAAATTATTAAGCCATAGTCGAATCTGAAGCTTCTAAAACCTTAACACAGACTTCGTGACCATCCTTAACTTGAAAACACAT